TATCCCTCCCTGGAGCCCCAACACTAACCCTCCCTGTAACCCCAACACTAGCCCTCCCTGTAGCCCCAACACTATCCCTCCCTGTAACCCCAACACTATCCCTCCCTGTAACCCCAACACTATCCCTCCCTGTAACCCCAACACTATCCCTCCCTGTAACCCCAACACTAACCTTCCCTGTAACCCCAACACTAGCCCTCCCTGTAGCCCCAACACTAACCTTCCCTGTAGCCCCAACACTAACTCTCTTAACCCCGACACTAACCTTCCCTGTAACCCCGACACTAACCTTCCCTGTAACCCCAACACTAACCCTTCCTGTAACCCCAGATGTGTATGTGGAGTTCCTTCTTATCTAACACTGCTGTCTGTACTGAGTCCATCCTGAGAATTATTCCTTTTTCTACTTTCAAATACTAGTCGGAAGGAAAAGTTCCTCCATACTTGGCTTTCTTACCTCCTTCCCACTGGGCCCCTCTGACTGGCTAGCCCAGAATATGACCCAGAGCTTTCCAGATGAGTTGTGAGCAAGTTGTGTCTATGTTCAGCAAAGGTGGCAGTGTGACCCATGACCTCCTGGTGACCACAGATGAGGAGCTCACACTGCTTCCACCCTCTTAGATGTCCTCTTCTCAGGTCTCTCTCTCTCTATAGACATCCAATCTTCTTAACATTTCTTCTCCTTCTCTTCTTACTGTTTCCAGGGTTTTGCCTTGTGGTGGATCCATTAAAAAGGAAAACGATTTATACCTTGAGGATGGAGAAGGAGCCAAGCCACATGATCGTCACCATATTAGACCTCACCCTGGAGATCATCTACCTGCTAACCGGAGAGGTGAGGAGGATTCTGGGAGGTCACATGACATCACTCTAATCTTTTTTATTAAAACACAGACCTGACCGGAGAGGTGAGGAGGATTCTGGGAGGTCACATGACGTCACTCTTATCTCTATTAATAATACACAGACCTGACCGTAGAGGTGAGGAGCATTTGGGAGGGTCACATGACTTCACCTATAACTGACAGCACCAATATGAATTTAATTTATAAGCCCCTCCTTAAATTCCATAGATGTAAAAATTAGGTTGGATTTTTTAGGCAAGTAAAATATAAGCAGAAGTTTTTAAGTCACCAATTTCCTTTTGCGTAAGACCATTCATGTATCTTTCTGGTACACAGGACTACACCGTAGTAAAAAAATCATCTGGGGATCACATGACACCCAACAGCCACACCTGTGTGTCCAGCCAATGCAGCAAGACCCGAAACCCCATCGTGGACCCTCCACCTCCCTCCCCAACACCTGAGCGAAACAACGACAAGAAGATTCTAGAAGTCACCCAGAAGATCATTGGTCTGCTGACAGGAGAGGTGAGCGGTGCCGGGAATTCTGGGACATGATCCAGGAACAGACAAGGGATGTGTCTGGATGGTGACTGTATCATTGTGTGTGTCAGGTTCCTATAAGGTGTCAGGATGTCTCTGTCTATTTCTCCATGGAGGAGTGGGAGTATCTAGAAGGACACCGGGATCTCTACAAGGACGTCATGATGGAGAACCGGCCGCCCCCCACATCACCGCGTAAGAGGAGACTTTCATTTCTTGAGTATTGAGGATCCCCCTAGAAACACACATCCTCTGATATAAAGACATAGAAACAATGTATTCAGTCAGTGTGTGTGTTTCCTACAGATGGATCCAGGAACAGAAATACCCCAGAGAGATGTCCCCGTCCTCTGTATTCCCGGGATTCCACACAGGAACATCAGGAGATCCCTCAGGCCCGTCCTCTGTATTCCCGGGATTCCACACAGGAGCATCAGGAGATCCCTCAGGCCCGTCCTCTGTATTCCCGGGATTCCACACAGGAACATCATGAGATCCCTCACGCTTGTCCTCTGTACTCCCGGGATTCCACACAGGAACATCATGAGATCCCTCAGGTCCATCCTCTGTATTCTCGGGATTCCACACAGGAACATCAGGAGATCCCTCAGGCCCGTCCTCTGTATTCCCGGGATTCCACACAGGAACATCATGAGATCCCTCAGGTCCATCCTCTGTATTCCTGGGATTCCACACAGGAACATCAGGATATCCCTCAGGCCCTTCCTCGGGATTCCACACAAGAACATAAGGAGATCCCTCAGACCCGTGCTCTGTACTCCAAAGACTCCACAAAGCAGCATCAGGAGATCCCTCAGGATGATCAGGTAAAGGGACCTCTAACAATTAACATTACTTGGCCATAGAGCCTACAATTGCCAGCCAGCCTGTTCCCTTAACTGTGTGTCTTCTGGTAAGGAGGCCCAAGATCAGGTTTGGAAACTCTGGCCATACATGTTATTGTCTTCTTGCTATCATAGATTATTTTCCTAATAGCAATTATTAGAAGGTTCTGTTCCTCCTGTTAAACGGTAAGTCCCTATTTTGTAAGTTGTAGCCATTTTCACCAGCCTGGAATTTGACTTGAAATCGTTTGTGTCCCGTCTAGGATGACGGCTTGATTGTCATTAAAGTTGAAACTGTTGATGAAGACTACACAATAGTGACTGGCTCAGTTGGCATTGAAGAGAATGAAGATAGACCCGTGAGGGTGAAAGAGGAGGAGATCCCGATGGAGATCAGCTCAGGTGAGTAATAAACACTAAATCCAGAGAAGAGTCCCAGATTCTCCTTGTTCAGTCACTACAACAATCTCTTCTTCTCCCCCCTTCTCTGTCAGTAGACAGAGGGGGCCAGTATTGGAGCCATAAGGGGTTTAAGTTTTGATCAAGGCTGTAAGGGTATCCCCTTCAGTTAAGGAAAGAATTGCCTCTGAGATGAAGACCCTTTATGACTTTAGGCCCAATGGACAGATTTGGAGACAAGCTTATCCAATCGTGTGTATTTAGTTGCTCTGTTATCAATAAAACCAACCCAACGCGTTTCGGGACTCTTGGCTTAATGTATGTAGACAAGTGCAGGATTGCTTCACCAAGCATGACCGCGGGTAATCTGCACTTAAAATCTACACACATCAGCAGTTGACTTGTCAAGAAGTGCCTGGCAGGTTACCTGATACATAAACCCTTGAAGAAGCGGGCACCCTAAGTCTCCGGACACACTTTGGCTAGTTAAAGGAGAACTAGGAGGTAAGTGTTTTTCCCCATAGTTCTCCTAAGGGTCACGGGAGGACACAAACTAGCGTCCGCCCATGACCCAAGCTCAGTATATGGAGAGCTACAGCTCGCGGTATACTGAGACCGCCGCAGTCTGGACGGATTCCGACATTACTGTCGCCAACATCTGGATCGGCTGAGCCAAAGCTCCGGCAGCTCACTCGCTGCCATTCGCCACCATTCTCATAGATGCCAAATGGCAGTGAGTGAATAGCCGAATGCCACCGAGCGGCAATCGGCTCGGCTATTCTGCCCGGGACCTCCGTGGTAGAATAGGAAATCAATGAAAAGAATTTAAAAAAACATTTTTTAAATGTAAATAAATAGTAAATAAAAAAAATTTCAAAAATGGGTGTAGCTAGCAGTGACAGCTAGTTCCGCCCAACTGTTTCCTATTGCCTGGCACCTGAAGAGTCTTCTAGCAGGTCCCGGCCAATGAGTAACAACTAGGCGGGGCCGGCTCCGCCGTCTTGTTAATGTTTAAGGACAGAGCAGCGTCCCCAGGTCATATGGGGACGCTGATCTGTCATTACAACTGGGCTGAGTGAGCTTTGAGATCACGGCTGGCTCCGCCCAGCTGTCATTTGCGTGGAGATCAGTCAGCTTCGGCCGACTATTCTCCACGCTTTGGGTGTCACTACGGCTACGAATAGCCCGTACAGCAGCTCTTTAGTTCAACCGAAGGATCAGCTGAAGCTATGGCTGGATCCTTCGGCTCTTTAGTGAATAACCCCCCTAGGCAGTGGCGGAACTACCAGGGTCGCAGAGGTCGCAGCTGCGACTGGGCCCTGGAGTTCCGCCACTTGGAGGGGGCCCACAACAGGAGGAAGGGGCCTCTGGTAACCGCTGATTACCAGGATATTTAATATCCCGGTAACCGCTGTCAGTGCCGGGACCTCTTCCTCCTGTCCTGGGCCCTACGTGCTTCACGCTGCACCCCTCACCTTGCTCCGGGCGCAGCGTGAAGTATGATGCAGCCGGCGCAGCAGCCAATGAGTGGGAAGCGGGGTTATCCCTGCCCCCTCATCACACAGAAGTGCTGCCGAATAGAGAGCTGCCTGGGTAAGAGAGGCCTGCTGCGGACACGAAGGGGGAGTTATAGGAAGCTGGGAGGAATATGAAGGGGACATGGGAGAGTGTGGGGTCCGGGAGCGGAAAGCTGGGGACGTGATGGGGGGGGGGAGCTTGAGACATGGGAGAGGAGAGCTGGGGCCATGAAGGAGGAGGTAATGGGGACATTGCACCGGGGCCCTGAGGTCACTAGTTACGCCTCTGCCCCTATGTGTGCCCGTTTTTATTTTGGAGAATTGCCCAATAGGATCATTCTAACCAATCGTACTCCCCTTATGCTTCTTGTTTCCTCTAGATGGACAATACCAAAGGTGTGACACTGGGAAAGGTCCCATGATCTCTGAAGATGGTGGAAGAGGGGTTGATGACATCACCCGTCTTGGGCCTGGAGAAAACAACATCACCTCACATCTCCATCCAGTGTTTCTGGACCCAACAATGAACGGGGGCCTGTTTGCTGACCGCCCGCCTCCGGTCCCCCCACCTCGTAGAGTCCTGTACATGGTGGGGAAGCCATATTCCTGCCTGGAATGCGGGAAGCGCTTTGAACGGGAATCCTCCCTCGTCCTCCACCAGAAAGGACACATTAATGACCTCAAGCCGTACGCTTGCTCGGAATGCGGCAAAGGGTTTGCCCACAAATCCTATCTGGACACCCACCTGAGAATCCACACGGGAGTGAGACCCCATTCGTGTTCCGAATGCGGGAAGAGTTTTGTGTACAAGTCAGAGCTCGGTAAGCACCAAAGGACTCACACGGGGGAGAAGCCATACACGTGCTCCGTGTGTGGGAAATCATACGGGTGGAAGTCGGTGCTCATCAAGCACATGAGGATCCACACCGGGGAGAAGCCGTATTCATGTACGGAGTGCGGCAAGAGCTTCACCCAGAAAGTCATCCTCGTGGAGCATCAAAGGACTCACACAGGCGAGAAGCCGTTCTCTTGCACCGAATGCGGGAAGAGCTTCACGTGGAGGAAAGCCTTCGTCAGTCACCAGAAGATCCATACACAAGAGAAGCCTGAACGTTCCCAACATGGAAATCCAATGGTATAGGAACCAGAACTGGACTTACGTCTGGGCCCCTGCCCCTTCTTTATTTATTTTTGTATTTATATTAGGGGCCTTTCTGTTCCTCAGGACTTTACACATTTCGTAGAACCAATTGGAACATTATTTGGTTCTTCCTTAACTCCATTGCCCTTGGTCTCATGATCAGAATTTTCTGTTTGAAGAACCCTTCTTGTCAACTCAACCACTCACATTGTATTCAGTATTTTATATCCAGGGGGGAGGTTGAAAATTGGCCTAGAGAATATGGCGGGTCACTTGAAGCATCCGATCTCCGCCCCCAAGGAGCTTGTCGTAGATGTATGTGTATTCCTAGTAGGTCTGCTAGGTCACAAGGCGTTACCCAACCTCCTGAATTGCAACTGAGGCTGGCTGCAGGACGGGGGCCCGGAGAAGCATGGGTGGGGGTGGGTCAATGTGTGTTTGAAGAGTGTCTGAGGCCATGAGTTCTTCAAAGGTCAGGTCAGGGTTAAAAGTGGGTTCTGGTTCTTCTGGTATGCTCCACCATATTCTTAAATCAGGAACTAGCTAGCTAACATACGTAAGAACTCATTACACGCCGCCCGGCTTCCTGATTGGCTGGGAAGCCGGCTCCATGCTCCCTCGTCACCAGGGAGCATGAAGCTGGCTTTCCAGCCAATGACTCGTCCCCCGGCTTTCTGATTGGCTGGGGAGCTAGCTCCATGCTTCCCTGGTGTACTCGTACTCGCCCAAACTCTCCCGATGCCTAGCCCGATACTGGAACTTCTGGTATCCAGAAGTTGGGAGGCGAGTCATTACACGCTGCCCGGCTTCCTGATTGGGCGGAAAGCTGGCTCCATACTCCCTCATCACCAGGGAGCTTGGAGCTTGCTTCTTGGCCAATCAAGAAGCCGGGGTCGGGTAATGAACGCTTCCTGATTGGCTGGGAAGCCGACTCCATGCTCCCTCGTCACACAAGAGAGCATGGAACCTGCTTCCCGCCGTGTAATGACTCGCCGGCTGGATTCCTCATTGGTCGGGAAGCTGGCCAATGATTGGCCAGAACACCAGGTCCATGCAAGTGACGAGGGGAGCATGGTGCCATCTTCCCGGCCAATCGGGAAGCCGGGCAGCGTGTATCGATTTGCCGGCCAGCTTCCTGATTGGTCAGGAAGCTGGCCAATCAAGGAGCCAGGCGGTGAGTCATTACCTGCCCCCCGGCTTCCTGATTGGCCAGAAAGCTGTCTCTGTGCTTCCTCGTCACTTGCATGGAGCTGGCTTTCTGGCCAATCTGCAAGAGGGGGGGGTAATAACTTGCCGCCTAGCTTCCTTATTGGCCAGCTTCCCGACCAATGAGGAAGCCGGGCGGTGAGTCATTACACGTTGCCTGGCTTCCTTAATGTGACTTCCGGTATCGGCGAGTACCGCAACAAAAAAAAACAAACGGTACTTGTATTGGAATACTGAACAATACATCCCTAGTATCTATGTTTCAGCCAAGTGACCTGGGTTCATCAGTTGACCACAAACATTGGGTTCTCCCTGAATCCAGGGGTCACCCAGTTTAGGAAATCTGTATGTAGTCAAGCACAAGGGAGCAGCAAACGCACACTTAGAGAGTCCAGAGCAGTGTTTGATTGATTCCACAATGATCGGAGCGATGACAAGAAACATCCGACACGTTCCAGGGGCTCAGAAATCCCCCTTCATCAGGGCTTAGGCTATGTTCTTGCAGAAACTCAAGAGGACTCTTAACTTAGGAGCCCGGGCTTGTATATCGAAGCCAACAATGGGCAACCAATGTCACTAATAGACGTCCGTGAGGCCAGAGCTTCTGTATTAGACGTTTTCCTTCATAGTACTCAATCTTTATCTTTGCTGGTCCCTTACTTGCCACCAAATGTTGGGTCCGCCATGAACTGGTTTATAAGGGAATCCTTTTATACAAATCTGTTTCATGTAAACGTTGTTATCGACATGTATTGTTTTACAAACCCCGATTCTGTATTTCGCGCGGCCAATGCCTCCTGCAGCGGCTTCTCTCAAAGTCTTCATATAGCTCTGTTAAAGGGAAGTAATCCAAAATGGCCACGTTACCGATCAAACCCTTCTCCCATCAGTCTGGAACACCATGTGCTGTCCTGTTGTTCTAAACGGTATTTGGGGATTTGGTTTTGTTTCAGCACTTTCTAAGTCTTGGTGTTGACTCCTCTGAAAGGACACCCCTACAAATCTGTATAAAAGCATTGCTACAATGTTGTGCTGGTTCCCCTTTTAAGGATCTTAAAGGGAAAGGCTTGCGATTACAGTTTGGTGTTGATTACTTCCTTTCATTTTGTATTGCCTGTATAGTAAATTATTTTATGTCTAATCATCTCGATTTGCTGCTTGTGTACGTCACTCTTATTTATTTTTGCTGTTTTTTAATTCTTTATTGTCATACAGAACTTATAGACAGGGCCGGATTTCCCACCAAATAATACTCACTTGTATTAAACGAGCAGCGGCTTCCACTGTACGTTTAACTCTGCTTTAGCAGGGCTAAATGTACAAAAAACGAGGGATTCGCTCCCCGCCTTTTGGGGGAGAAAAAGTGCGTCTTATGAAGCGAAAAATACGGTATATGGCATTTGAAAACATGACAGTGACACCGCCGTGTATCAGAAGAGGACAACAATCAGCCATAGGAAACTGAGTGATGGAGCGCACAGGAAGCAGAGAACCCGGGGGGAGCAGTAATTGTAAGTGCTGAGTGATGGAGCGCACAGGAAGCAGAGAACCCGGAGGAGCAGTAATTGTAAGTGCTGAGTGATGGAGCGCACAGGAAGCAGAGAACCCGGAGGAGCAGTAATTGTAAGTGCTGAGTGATGGAGCGCACAGGAAGCAGAGAACCCGGAGGAGCAGTAATTGTAAGTGCTGAGTGATGGAGCGCACAGGAAGCAGAGAACCCGGAGGAGCAGTAATTGTAAGTGCTGAGTGATGGAGCGCACAGGAAGCAGAGAACCCGGAGGAGCAGTAATTGTAAGTGCTGAGTGATGGAGCGCACAGGAAGCAGAGAACCCGGAGGAGCAGTAATTGTAAGTGCTGAGTGATGGAGCGCACAGGAAGCAGAGAACCCGGAGGAGCAGTAATTGTAAGTGCTGAGTGATGGAGCGCACAGGAAGCAGAGAACCCGGAGGAGCAGTAATTGTAAGTGCTGAGTGATGGAGCGCACAGGAAGCAGAGAACCCGGAGGAGCAGTAATTGTAAGTGCTGAGTGATGGAGCGCACAGGAAGCAGAGAACCCGGAGGAGCAGTAATTGTAAGTGCTGAGTGATGGAGCGCACAGGAAGCAGAGAACCCGGAGGAGCAGTAATTGTAAGTGCTGAGTGATGGAGCGCACAGGAAGCAGAGAACCCGGAGGAGCAGTAATTGTAAGTGCTGAGTGATGGAGCGCACAGGAAGCAGAGAACCCGGAGGAGCAGTAATTGTAAGTGCTGAGTGATGGAGCGCACAGGAAGCAGAGAACCCGGAGGAGCAGTAATTGTAAGTGCTGAGTGATGGAGCGCACAGGAAGCAGAGAACCCGGAGGAGCAGTAATTGTAAGTGCTGAGTGATGGAGCGCACAGGAAGCAGAGAACCCGGAGGAGCAGTAATTGTAAGTGCTGAGTGATGGAGCGCACAGGAAGCAGAGAACCCGGAGGAGCAGTAATTGTAAGTGCTGAGTGATGGAGCGCACAGGAAGCAGAGAACCCGGAGGAGCAGTAATTGTAAGTGCTGAGTGATGGAGCGCACAGGAAGCAGAGAACCCGGAGGAGCAGTAATTGTAAGTGCTGAGTGATGGAGCGCACAGGAAGCAGAGAACCCGGAGGAGCAGTAATTGTAAGTGCTGAGTGATGGAGCGCACAGGAAGCAGAGAACCCGGAGGAGCAGTAATTGTAAGTGCTGAGTGATGGAGCGCACAGGAAGCAGAGAACCCGGAGGAGCAGTAATTGTAAGTGCTGAGTGATGGAGCGCACAGGAAGCAGAGAACCCGGAGGAGCAGTAATTGTAAGTGCTGAGTGATGGAGCGCACAGGAAGCAGAGAACCCGGAGGAGCAGTAATTGTAAGTGCTGAGTGATGGAGCGCACAGGAAGCAGAGAACCCGGAGGAGCAGTAATTGTAAGTGCTGAGTGATGGAGCGCACAGGAAGCAGAGAACCCGGAGGAGCAGTAATTGTAAGTGCTGAGTGATGGAGCGCACAGGAAGCAGAGAACCCGGAGGAGCAGTAATTGTAAGTGCTGAGTGATGGAGCGCACAGGAAGCAGAGAACCCGGAGGAGCAGTAATTGTAAGTGCTGAGTGATGGAGCGCACAGGAAGCAGAGAACCCGGAGGAGCAGTAATTGTAAGTGCTGAGTGATGGAGCGCACAGGAAGCAGAGAACCCAAGGGGAGCAGTAATTGTAAGTGCTGAGTGATGGAGCGCACAGGAAGCAGAGAACCCGGGGGGAGCAGTAATTGTAAGTGCTGAGTGATGGAGCGGACAGGAAGCAGAGAACCCGGAGGAGCAGTAATTGTAAGTATTGAGTGATGGAGCGCACAGGAATCGGAGAACCCGGAGGAGCGGTAATTGTAAGTGCTGAGTGATGAGCGCACAGGAAGCAGAGAACCCGGGGGAGCAGTAATTGTAAGTGTTGAGTGATGGAGCGCACAGGAAGCGGATAACCCGGGGGGAGCAGTAATTGTAAGTGCTGAGTGATGGAGCGCACAGGAATCGGAGAACCCGGAGGAGCGGTAATTGTAAGTGCTGAGTGATGAGCGCACAGGAAGCAGAGAACCCGGGGGAGCAGTAATTGTAAGTGTTGAGTGATGGAGCGCACAGGAAGCGGATAACCCGGGGGGAGCAGTAATTGTAAGTGCTGAGTGATGGAGCGCACAGGAATCGGAGAACCCGGAGGAGCGGTAATTGTAAGTGCTGAGTGATGAGCGCACAGGAAGCAGAGAACCCGGGGGAGCAGTAATTGTAAGTGTTGAGTGATGGAGCGCACAGGAAGCGGATAACCCGGGGGGAGCAGTAATTGTAAGTGCTGAGTGATGGAGCGGACAGGAAGCAGAGAACCCGGAGGAGCAGTAATTGTAAGTATTGAGTGATGGAGCGCACAGGAATCGGAGAACCCGGAGGAGCGGTAATTGTAAGTGCTGAGTGATGAGCGCACAGGAAGCAGAGAACCCGGGGGAGCAGTAATTGTAAGTGTTGAGTGATGGAGCGCACAGGAAGCGGATAACCCGGGGGGAGCAGTAATTGTAAGTGCTGAGTGATGGAGCGGACAGGAAGCAGAGAACCCGGAGGAGCAGTAATTGTAAGTATTGAGTGATGGAGCGCACAGGAATCGGAGAACCCGGAGGAGCGGTAATTGTAAGTGCTGAGTGATGAGCGCACAGGAAGCAGAGAACCCGGGGGAGCAGTAATTGTAAGTGTTGAGTGATGGAGCGCACAGGAAGCGGACAACCCGGGGGGAGCAGTAATTGTAAGTGTTGAGTTCTGTGCATGCGTGCCGCCATTTTGGAGTAGATCTTGGTATTCACCAAGATGGGGCGCTCAAACATACGGGCATCGCCATCAGACTGCTGTTGCCATCACCTCAGCAAGGCGACTGTCTGCCATGGTGGCCTTATCCTGTGAAGAACCCTCTCTGGTCTTCCACAAGGGTAAGGTGGTGTTCCTTCGTACGGCAGCTTCCGCCTTTCACCTCAACCGAGATATTGTTCCTCCATCCCACGCCAGTTCATCAGAGAGAGATTTCCCTCCATTTGTGTGGATGCAGTTAAGCTGAGTTTACCTTGGAGGTGCCAACTTCATTAGAAAGTCTAACTGTCTCTTTGGCATTCCTGATGCTTCCCGCAAGTGTGAACCAGCTTCTCCTTCCAGCATATCTCGATGGCTCATACAGCTCACCATTCCAGCTTACGGCCTTAAGGATTGGGTACCACCCTTTCCTGACAAGGTCCATTCCACTAGATCTGTAAGTGCTTCTTGGGCTGTTTACCAAATTCTCAAGGTTCTCAAGATGTCAGCTGAGGGCGTAAGGTCCTTCAGGCAGTTCCTACTTGTTTTTTTGGTGGCCCTGTTGCTGTTTTGATGCTGTTGGGCTGCTTTTGGACGTCCTGACAGTCTATAAACTCCCGTGTCCATCAATGGACAAGACGGAAAATTTGATTTTTCCACTTACCGTAAAATCCACTTCTTGGGGGTCCACTGAGGGACAGAGGTCCCACCCCCCTATGAGGGGAACCACAAGTGGGAAGCACACAGCCTAGAGTCAAGCTTTGATGTGGAACTTCAGGCCAGCCTTGAAATAAATAGTTTAGATACGTATACATTTGCTTATTTACCTGCCAAACTATTTATTCTGGTGATACGCAAAGCTCTGCTGGGCGGGGAGCTCTCTCCTACATTCAGGTTTACCATTCCCGCTTTCCGTATCACGTCACAGGCGCTGATGCTGATTGAACGTCCGATTATGAATTGGGCAGAGAGAGAACATAGGGAGCCTGGAAATAAGTGACGCACATGCAAGGTGTGCAATTCACAAGACCGTCTGACCAGAATTACAAATCTCTTGTTAGGTAAAACAGTATTGCGCACAGAACGGCGCCTGTGCATGCTAGTAGGAGCATTGTAGCGTGCGCGCCGGAACACGTGCGCACATCTGTTCCCAGCTGTGGCGCCAAACAGCCTACGTAAACTTGCTGTCAGGGTGCATCAGTCAGCGCCCATAGTGCAGATTCTGCCCGGATCGATGCGCGCTATGCGTACGCGCGCAACAAAGTGCAAACGCAAGTAACGTGCACACGCATGTCCTTGGCGCCAGGCGGGCTATTTAAAGATGGCCACTGTATCTGCACCTTGCTGAGAGATCTTCAGCTGTAACCTGCATCTGTTTCTGCTCCTGATACCTGTGTGACCCGGCTTGATTCCTGACTCTGCCTGCCTTGTGACCTCGGCTCGTCCCTGACCATTCTTCTGCCTCCTGATCCGGTACCATTCTGCTCGCTAGTGTATGACCCGGCCTGCTCCTGACTGCTTCTGTCTTCTGCTTTTGTACCGCACGTTACCAATCTGGCTTGTTCCTGACTACGCTTCAGCTCCTCGCACAAGTGTTGTCTGATCTGCCATCTTCCACCAGCTGCCTCTGGCGTCCTGTTGTCAGCATCAGCAGTCATACCAGCCACAGGCACTCATGCCCCTCTCTGTCTGCACAACTACTGTTCCATCTCCAGGGGGGCTCAGAGGAGAGCAGCAAGGGAAGGTCTTCCTCGTCACTTCAGGCTCATCCCAAGGTACGTGACACTTGCCCTCTGCACATGCTCCTTGCTGAGACATCATCAGATAGTACCCTGCACCTGAGTGTTCCATCCTTGCTCCTATATGACCCAGCTCTGACTCCAGTGTACTCCGCCTGCCCTTGACAACTTCTTCTGTCTGCTTATTCGGTACAGCTCTGCCTGCACGGTTCCGACCTCGACTCGGCCCGACCCAGCTCCCGTCTCCCAATTCTGTACTGTATCTCCTGCTAGTTGCTGATCCGGCTTGGCTCTGACCACGCTGCAGATTCCAGCTCCATGTTTTGGTCATCGCCTGTCCCCGGCACAGATTGCAAGTCATTTGGGTCGCCAGCCTTAGAATCTTCAGGGTCACCACCTGTCGGCACTTGCGCCCCTCGCAGTCCTTCCACCTGTTTTACTCTCAGGGGTACTCAGACGAGAGCAGCAAGAGAGGCCGTCCTCCTCATTTCAGACTCGTATACGGTACGTGACAACATGACATTGCCTAGTAACTGTAGGCATGCACCGCTATATGGGCCGCCGAAACATATCGGCCGAAAATGGCACTTTGGGCATGATGCCAAAGGTGCCATTTTCTGGCCAATACATCGGCGCATCCGTTCTTTCTCTCCTCCCCGCTGGCCGCTGCTCTGTGTCCCAACGGGGAGGAGAGAAACTGTCACAGGAGGCTGAGCGCTGTGAGCGGCCATGTCTCCCCTCCCCGCATCACTCAGCCTCCTGTCACAAATCATGAGAGCGGCGGTGTGGGCGGAGCCAGCCAAAATTGAGGATATAGTAAACATACTCTGTCCTCAATTATTAACAAACACTCAACCAGCGCTGTCATAGGAGGCTGAGCTCTTCTACCGCACAGCCTCCTGTGACAGCCAATCCAGGATGGAGAGCGGTTGTGTGGGCGGAGACTGCTGTCATAGGAGGCTGAGCTCTTCTATTGCACCGCCTCCTGTGACAGCCAATCCAGGATGGAGAATGGCTGTGTGGGCGGAGACTGTTGTCATAGGTAGCTGAGCTCCCCTCCCACACCGCCTCGCTCAGCCTCCTGTGACAGCCAATCCAGGATGGAGAGCGGCTGTGTGGGCGGAGACTGCTGTCATAGGAGGCTGAGCTCTCCTCCCACACCGCCTCACCCAGCCTCCTGTGACAGCCAATCCAGGATGGAGAGCGGCTGTGTGGGCGGAGACTGCTGTCATAGGAGGCTGAGCTCTCCTCCCACACCGCCCCACCCAGCCTCCAGTGATAGCTGTCAGAGAGCGAGTACAAGCAGTGATCAGTGATCGCTGAGTGTTTGTAAATAATTGAGGACAGAGTATGGTGACTATATCCCTAATTATGAATGAATGGGAAGTGATCTACATCACTTCCTGTTTATTCATGATTGGGGATATAGTAAACACACTCTGTTCTCATGTTATGGATGGACAGGAACACTCAGTAAACAGGCTTCCTGATCATTGATAACAGGAGCTGCAGAAAAAGAGATAGAGGACTCTCTGAGGAGTTTGTGTTCTCAATCTCTGTTTCTATTTTAAAAGAGAAATATTGGGGGGTCTGTTTAGACCCCTAATATTTCCCCGAAGCCCCTAAAAGTAAAGTAAAAAACTAAAATATTTCATAAAAAATGAATAAATAAAAATAAAATATAAAAAAAATTAAAAAGTTTCTAAAAAATTAAATATTTTTTACAAATGTGAAACGTTAGAATAAAAAACATTTCCAGATTTTGGGCCGACATTTTTTTTCATTTCGGTTTTGAGATTTTCATTTTCGGGGGACCTCTAGTCATTGGATATCGGGCTGCCTGATATGTGGACTCAACAAGGGAGCAGAACAAAACAAAAATAGTTGTAATTGCACAACCTTTGTGCCGATATATATTTTGTTTCTAAGTGTTAACAATAGTAGACAATAAATGAGGTGAAATGGGAGAGAGGGAAGGCCCGGGGCTGGAATCAGGAACAACCGAAAGCCATCACAATAGTTTATACTTAACCCCTTCATGACCAGTAACGTCACTGGCACCGGGCCCGTCTACACAGACAATGGCGCCGGGACTCTGTTTACACTTATAAAGCCAACTGTCCGCTTTACAGCAGAAGCAATTTTGGCAGCTCAGCTGCTGCCAGATCGCTTTTAGGGGCCGATAAACAGGCCTCCCCCCCCCCGGGCCGACACCCCCCACCGTGTTTCACGGGCTCCACTGCCCCTCCTACGGGCCCGGGGGTTCTCTGGTGTCGGGAGGAAGCTGGGAACGTCCGTTCGCCGATCTCCTTCCCGAACCATGGGACCGGGAGTGGTGCAGATGACATAACTTCCGGTCCCATAGCTGTCATTGGTCGGCTCCTGAAGCCCAGCAATAAGTGCGATCTGCACCCCAATACCTTATTTGGAGTGTAAAGGTGACACTGGGGGTCTTTTGGACCCCCAGCATCACCTTAAAGCAGGGATGGCCAAACTCTGGCCCTCCAGCTGTGGATGAAACTACAAATCCCATGATGCATCTCTCTCCGGGAGTCATGTCTGTGGCTGTGAGAGTCTTGCAAAGCCTCATGGGATTCGTAGTTCCACCACAGCTGGAGGGGCGCAGTTTGGCCATCCCTGCCTTAAAGAGTACCTGTCACCACCAACTGCTATCACTTGGGGGGCTTGTAGGCTCCCCTATGTGATAGCAATTAAAATAAAGTAAGAAAAACAAAAAGTTTGTAAAAATAATAATAATAAAAAAATTAAAGCCCCCCGCCCCAGCGAGCACGCGCGTCTTCACGTAAACAGGCGTCGGGTGCGCCTACGTATGAAAACGTCGATCCTGCTACACGCGTTGGGTATCTCCGCGCACGCCAGACTGAGAGCAATAGTTCTCGGGCCAATATTTACTAAACTGCCAGTATCTCTAAACTGATGACCTGTGGGGGGATTTTAAAGCGCCGTCTATGGACTTTTTGGCGTACTGAATGTTGTCGCCGTTTCACGGACGCACACAATTTCTAACCTGGGCATGTTGGGTATCTATTTACTCGTTGTCACCTCATCTTATATATTTTATTTACAAAATGGTTATTTTATTGTGTTTTGGGGCATTAAAGTGCATTTTTCCCTAAATTTCGGGGTTTGATAAGGAGTTGCGCTAATATCATGCAACATAAATTGTGCAACTGCCACCATTTTATTCTACAGGGTCTCGGCTTTCAGAAAATATATCACGTGTGGGGGGTTTGAAGACATTTTCAGGCCTAAAATGTGGATTATATCATGGGTGCAAAAAAACTGAAAAGAAAGGCCTCGGTCACGAAGGGGTTAAAAAGTTGTGTTTTACAAGAAGCAAATGAGTTTCCTCGTCGTATTAATACAATTTTGAATTTCAGAGCAAAGAGGAGAATGGAATGGATGGGAATCGTCTCCTGGGCTGCAGCAAATAATAACAACGGGCTAGCACAAGTTCTTCTGAGGCTATAAAAGTCACTTTTTGGGAGCGAGCAAGTTCACATTACGTTCCCGCTGACCAGATCCGAGGTCCATAACTGAGGACGAGTCCGGCCCGGTCTACCCCTCACATTGCAAAACGAGACAAATAGGAAACATGACAACATGGGGGCGTGGCCCTAACTGGCACCTTTATAAAAGATGCCCGCGTGCCGGCGGTCACTTGGCCGCCACGGGAACCTCTTGTAACCGGTGGGAACCGAGATGTGACATCAGTGACGTTTTCCTTGTAAACATTTTCCCGCATTCCAAACAGGAGAATGGCTTCTCTCCCGTGTGCGACCTCTGGTGTTGGATAAGACTCCCCCTGCGGGTAAAACACTTCCCGCACTGAGGACAGGAATATGGGTTATCGGTCATGTGAACGATTTGATGGGTGGCGAGGTGTGACCTGTTCGTGTAACTTTTCCCGCACTCGGAACACGAGAACGGTCTCTCTCCCGTGTGCAGTCTTTGGTGCGAGATGAGGTTGACCCTTTGGGTAAAGCTCTTTCCGCATTCGGAGCAAGCAAACGGCTTCTCGGCGGTGTGGGTTCTCTGATGGGCGATGAGGTTTTGCTTCTGGGTAAAGCGCTTCCCGCACTCGGCGCAGGAGAATGGTTTTTCGGGCGCGTGAATTCTCTCGTGAGAAATGAGGCTTCCTCTCTGGGAGAAACACTTCCCGCATTCAGAGCAAGAGAACGGCTTCTCCCCAGTGTGAACCCGTTCGTGTATAACGAGAAGTGATTTTTCAGGGAAGCTTTTCCCGCACGTGGGACAGGAGTATTGTTTCTCGGCTGTGTGGTTTCTACAATGCCTAGTGAGGTCAGACTTCTGCCTAAAGCCCTTGCCGCATTCTAGACATGTGAATGGCTTCTCCCCTCTGTGAATTCTTTGATGTGTAATAAGTATATCTTTCCCAGTGAAACACTTTCCGCACTCTGAACAGGAATACGGCTTCTCCCCCGTGTGGACTCTCTCATGTTTGATAAGAGTTGCTTTCTGCGAAAAACACTTCCCGCATTCCGGGCACGAAAATGGTTTTTCCCCCGTGTGAGATCTCTGGTGCACGATCAGCTTTCCTTTCCGGGTGAAACGTTTGCCGCACTCCGTACACGAAAAGAGATTTTCACCCGTGTGAATATTCTGATGTTCAATTAAGTAGCGCTTCTTTGTGAAACATTTCCCGCACTCTGCACACGAAAATGACTTGACCACCCCGTGACTCCTCTGGTGGTCGACCAGCTCTGCCCTGCGGGTGAAACATTTGCCACACTTGGAACACGAAACCGTTTCGCTCTCGCCGCCGGATGTACGATGGGTGAAGGGGCGGGGCTGATTGGGTAAACGCCTTCCATCGGAGGAAACTTTTGCACGTGGAAGAACCGCACTGAGATTTTGGGCGGTGGGGTTTTCGTCTGAAGAAGACATGATTTCATCGTCCTCCGAAGAATCGGATGTGATGTCATCCTCTTCCGTTTCGCCATCCGGGGATATTATGGGATGTTTCTCGTTGTCGTACCTTCTGTATCGTCCATCTGGAGAAAACAAACAGAGACCATTCATTCAATGCACCGCACGTTAGCATACCAGGCCCTCAGTGTTCATCACTCACCTGCGCCAATCTCTGGAGGGACCTCCTCTTTACGCCGCTCATCGACCTTCACATCTTCCTCTTTCACTTCAACTTTAGAAGGACTTCCATCCTGAACACCGCAAAAGGACACGCAAAATGAACGCCAACCCTCCGACAATCACTTCATGTCCATCTATACCAAACGCTTAACCACTTCAATCCAACCCAACCCAACCCAAGGCAGCCGAGTGAATAACCCAGCCGAAGGGAAGGGAGCCGAACTACGTTCAGCTATTCACTTCTGGCTTGTACGGCTGATTTCCGGGGTACATCGCCCGCATTTCAGTCACATGACCGTGCTCTGTATGCTCAGCTGAGCCGAAGTGCAGAAGGAGTTCCAGTCAGCCGATCCAACTTCTGGGTCGGCCGAGCCGAAGCTGCGGCAGCTCACTCGCCATTTTCATAGGGGCCGAACGGCAGTGAGTGAATGGCGCCGAGCGGCATTCGGCTCGGCTGTTCTGCTCGGTACCTCCGTGGTACCGAGCAGAATAGAAAATCAACGAAGGGTCGGGGAAAAAAAGTAAATAAATAGTTCGAGTTAAAAAGAAAGATTTAAAACAAAAACAATTGGGCGGAGCTAGCAGTGACAGCTAGCTCCGCCCAACTGTTTCCTATTGGCCGGCACCTCCTGGCCAATAGTCTTCTAGCAGGTCCCAGGCCAATGAATAACAACTGGGTGGAGCCGGCCGGCTCCGCCCAGTTGTTTACTGACAGTTCTGCATCCCCAGGTCAATTGGGGACGCTGATCTGTCATTACAACTGGGCGGAGCCAGCCGTGAGGTCAGGGCTGGCTCCGCCCAGCTGTCATTTGCAGGGCGAAAGGAAAGCCTTCGGCAGGCCCGTTCGCCCCCCCGCTTCGGCTCTCACTTCGGCTCAGTCAAGCTGAAGCATATGCCTTTGGCTCGGCTGAGCCGCTCGCCCGCCTTCGGCTGCTGTACGGACTATAGTGAATAGTCCTTCACAGGACTCCCGCAACCGAAGTGAGCCGAAGGATCAGCCGAAGCTACGGCCGGATCCTTTGGCAGCTTTGTGAATTAGCCTTTAAGTGTTCCTGATCAAAAAACAAAACACTTTTCGGGTTAAAATGTGCCTCTCGCCAGACCACGGCTCAGTCACACTTGACCTTTGAACTAGATACAAGTCTTGTTTCACTTTCTCTTTATAAGCCCCGCCCACTGGAAGATCCCAGTCTCACCTACCTGATGACGGTGTGGGCTCTTGCGATGTTCCTCTGTGGATTTCGGTGAAGTCGGAGGACTGTGACTCTCTGGTGTATTTCTGTTACTTAGGGCACCTGTAAGATAGACATAGTCACATGTTGTGTGTCTCTGGAAGTCAGACAGTCAGAAGTTGTTAATTGATGAAGACGGATAGCCGGCCCAGCTCCAGTCTGCTGGTCAATCACAGGAAATATCAAAGCACGTGCCATTTAGTAAGTCCCCATCTACAGCTATCCTGTCTGGATCCATCATGGCCACCTTAGCAACCCCTACTAGTATCGGTGCCGATAGCGAGTACTCGCACTCACCCAAATGCTCCGATACCGGAACTTCCGGTCAGAGGGTGATTTCCTCTGACCGGTGTTCTATCAAAAGCTCCAACTCGTTAAAATCTCTGACTGCCGGGTACTTGCAAGTTGGAGATTTCGACCAGACGCCGTTAGACTGCAAAACACAAAGACTGACGGAGCCTCTGTACGGCTGCATGGTAACAATATTCAGCAGGTGGCAAACTCGACGAGTATTCTGAAAACGCTATGCGCGCAATGCGCGCCGCAACCGTACACAGCTCCGGCCTTTCTGAGTACCGGACGTGAGGTAGTTGGAGATTTCGATGAGTTGGAGCATTGGATAGAACACCGGCAGTGCCGCGAGGGAACATGGAGCTGGCTTCCCGGCCAATCCGGAACATCACCCGCCGCCCGGTTTCCTGATTGGCCGGTAAGCCGGCTCCGTGCTGTTTGGCCGACTCGATGCTGATGGGCACGGAAGCCAGAATCCCAGTGAATCAGCATGGAGCAGGCCAAACAGCATGGAGACGGCTTCCCGGCAAATCAGGATCCCGGGCGGCGCGTAATGACCTGCCTGCCGGCTTCCTGATTGGCTGGGAAGCTGGCTCAATGCTAAGTGGCTGTGAAGTCGGGTTCCAGGCCAATCAGCATCGAGCAGGCTAAACAGCATAGAACTGGCTTCCCAGGCAATCAAGTAGCCAGGCGGCAGGTGATGACATGCAGCCCGGCTTCCTAATTGCCCGGGATTCCGGCTCAAAGCTAGCGGAAGTACCGGTTATCGGCGAGTACCGAAACATAAATATACAATAAGAGACCGATTTCTTTTCAATGTTCCATAACAGCAGATGAATTCCCTACAAGTACACATGCGCCTACTAAATGGCATTCTTGCAATGCTCGCCCTGTGCTGGCTCCATGCAGTGGTGGATATGGTTGACATGGACACTGACCAGTGAGAGGAACGCTACGCATACCGACTGCCCCACCAATCAGATCCTGGACAGAGCAAACCCTATAGAAGGATACACTGCTGGTGGAACAATGTTCATTACTCACCTGTGCCGATTTCTACAGGAACTTCCTCCTCTTTGATCTTCACACATTCTTCCTCCTCCTCCTCCTCCTCCTCAGCTTTGACATCACTCTGAGTGTCTCCGACATCTGTAAATAAACATTTACATAAAGCCCGCTGTACAGAAAGGTTTGAAGTCATTTAGGAAGAACTTGTCAATCTCATCTATATTTTGGTTTATTAACTCACCCGCGCTATTCTCTGGAGGAGTTTCCTCCTCTTTGATCCTCACATGTTCTTCTTCTTCCTCCTCAACACTGATGTCTCTTTGAGTGTCTTCGGAGTCTGTGAATAAAGATGAAAGTGAAGCCCCCTGTACTGAGATGTATGAGAGACCCCAGAGAGAGTGTGTGTGGGGGGAGACCCTGTACTGAGATGTATGAGAGACCCCAGAGAGTGTGTGTGGGGGGGAGACCCTGTACTGAGATGTATGAGAGACCCCAGAGAGTGTGTGTGGGGGCAGACCCTGTACTGAGATGTATGAGAGACCCCAGAGAGTGTGTGTGTGGGGGGGGACCCTGTACTGAGATGTATGAGAGACCCCAGAGAGTGTGTGTGTGGGGGGAGACCCTGTACTGAGATGTATGAGAGACCCCAGAGAGTGTGTGTGTGGGGGAGACTGGTCACGTCTCTTGGCTGGTAACACACAATGACATGATGTGAGGAGGAGAGGCGGAGCCTAATAGAGGCTGATGTCTCCTGACTCCCCCCACTAGACATATTCCGTCCCCCCATTACTGTCTACTGACAGAGGAGGGGGGAGAAGAAGAGATTGTTGTAGTGACTGAACAAGGAGAATCTGGGACTCTTTTCTCGATTGAGTGTTTATTCCTCACCTGTGCTGATCTCTGGAGAACGTTCCTCCTCCTTACACGACTCATCGCCCATTATAGACATCTCTTCTTCATCTTCAACCTTAATAATGTTCAGGTCCTCAGTCTAGAGGATTTAAAATACGATCTCCATAAAGAGTCTGATTATAACTTTATAAACAAGAAAGATTTCATACGGTAAATGGTCTATGATCTAACAATGGAGACCAGGCATTTGCTTACTTGATAATTGTCTGTGAAGTTTTGATGTTTCTTCGAGGAATCCCGGGAGTACAGAGGACGGGTCTGAGGGATCTCCTGATGTTCCTGTGTGGAATCCCGGGAGTACAGAGGACGGGTCTGAGGGATCTCCTGATGTTCCTGTGTGGAATCCCGGGAATACAGAGGACGGGTCTGAGGGATCTCATGATGTTCCTGTGTGGAATCCCGGGAATACAGAGGACGGGGACATCTTTCTGGGGTATCATTCTTACTGGATCCATCTGAAGGAACACACACACTGACTGAATGTAGAGCTGCAGCTAACGATTATTTTCAAAATCGATTAGTTAGCCGATTATTAAGTTCGATTAATCGGTTAATCGGATAAACAATAAAATAAAGTTTAAAAAATGGCTCCAGTGATGGGACTACTAGTTTGTATTGAGGTTGTAGTCCATCACAGGAGCAAGCTTGGAGCGGTGGAAGTAAAAAAAAAAAAAAAGATAGTGTGGTGTGCAATATAGTGAAATGGAAAGTGTAAAATTATACAGCAATGAATGCAGAATGGCACCGGCTATAGAGGACTACAAATCCCAGCAATAGTACATTATACAGCGCAATGCAGAATACCACCAGCTATAGAGGACTACAACAAATCCCAGCAATAGTACATTATAAAGTGGTACAATGCTAAATACCACCAGCTATAGAGGACTACAAAACCCAGCAATAGTACATTATACAGCGCAATGCAGAATGCCGCCAGCTATAATGTACTATTGCTGGGATTTGTTGTATTCCTCTATAGCTGGTGGTATTCTGCATTGCGCTGTATAATGTATTATTGCTGGGACTTGTAGTCCTCTATACAGCGCAATGCAGAATATCACCAGCTATAGAGGAGTACAACAAATC